TCAGTGACTGGAGGGTCATTGAATCTAACTGTAGCAGGGGAGTTCATGTTCTGTGAGGAACTGATCAACTGATTCACTGATTATTAATAACTTCGAAGTTGAACACAAGGCACTGGCAATTGCTGAAAGTTGAACCATGACCAAACAAGGACAAACAATAAACAAAATTTTACATTGTTAATCACTGATCTTGTTTTTACTGAAACATCATCCTTTGTGATAACTGATTTCAACCTGATCTCAACACTTTCAACACTTTCAATTGAAATACCATGTCTACTCCAGTTGACACCTCTTTGACCAGCCTCAAGGAAATCACTGCCAAGATCATGGACATCATCACCGGCGCTTGGCAGTTTCCTCCGGGCCACAGCCACTTTTCTCTGACAACCCAGGTCAGTACACTTGTGGTATGTAGCATTATCATATTTTCTCCCCTTCATTTTTTTCATCATCCAGGTAGGCTGATGCAGTCCGGCACTATGGGAGTGGTCCCTACCTTCCGGGTCTCGTGTGTTCGTGCTCAAGGGAGTTAATTCGAGTTCGGGGCATGACTCCTCAGGTCTGGCCCAACTGGCACAGCATCGGGTACGACGATACCCATTTGTTGATGCACCCCTGGTGCAGCAAGGTTCTTGCCTGGGAGGAGTTAGGTGATCACACCTTTGATCTCCCGGTCATGGCCGGTCCTTCAGTAGGTCCAATTCCTGTGGATCTTCCACCCTCGCCTGTCATCGCCAGGCCTTCTACCAACCCTGCCTCCAAGTCCCAGGAGAAGGGAAAAGGTAAGGCAGTTGTCCTGGACCCGGAACCTGGAAGTGGAAGGGAGTCGGAAGAGGAAGTCTCCCATGATTCCAGCACTTCCCTCCCAACCCCCAAAGTCCACTATGAAGACTTGGAAGCAGGGCAAAGATAGCTGGCCTTGGTAAGTACAAGGTGTTTGTTGAGTCAGGAAGATGAGGAGGACTCAGTCACTCAGGTCTGTCCTCTGGTTCATTGTTTCATTGTCTTACTCATTTTGTAGCTGATTTCGCATGGAGTGCTGGAGGTCGTCCTCCCCTGGCTCTCCCCAGATGTTGCAAGGACATCCGGATCACCTTGGTCACCCCAGAGCCTGAAGAAGAAACCCTTCGGGCCTGCTACAGTAAGTTGCACTTTTGCATCCGGCACTCGGGAGGGTCCTTACAATGTGCCAGGCAATTGCCAGCAAATGTCTGGAGGTCATTGAGCTCCCTCAGGCAACTCCTGAACCTCTGGTAGAGGCCGCCCCAGTATCGACTATGAACTGATGGATCACACAGAACAACCCTTGCCAGGCTTGCCACAAGATGGAATGGCCCTGTGCAACTTGGTTTGACAAGAGGACTGGCGCCCCATGCATGTCCTGCATCTACTGCACCACCAAGAAGATCAAGTGCATCTCTGTGAGTATGGGAACCCCGCCAAAATGTGTTCAAGGTCAATCTGTCACCTGAACCACCAGGAGGACCAGATCCAGGACCCCTTCCAAAGCTCCCTCCAAAGCTCCAGCCCCCTTCCAATCCACCAGCTGGACTCGGAGTCAATCTCGGGTCTCTTCTGTCACTCCTGGTCCATCTCGTGCCCAAACACCAAAGGCGCAAACACGCGGTCACAGCAAGACTGTCACTGCTGCCAAGGAACCTGCACCTGCACCAGCTCGCAAGTCACCTGAATTTTCTATGTCCATCTGACATAATGTTCCACCTGTAGCAGTCCCATCTTTGACTTCCGGAGTTTTTTGTTTGGCATTTGATGTGTTAATGCCGGATTTGCATGCCATGGCAATGGTGATTTGGGAGGGTGCAGCTCAAATCGCCGCTCTCGAGGAGCATCTTGTTGAGCAGGATGCTAAGATTGACACCCTGCAATGCCTTCATGAAGGCCTTCAACATGAAATCATCCTCTGGCACCCAGCATTTCCACTTCCGGACGCCCAAGGTGATGCAACATCATTTTTGCTTGATCAACCTGTCCCTCCGGCCATGTCAACCCCTGCATCTGCACTTCCTCCTCTCATTGACCTGTCTATGGAAGGGATGGAGCCCAAATCCCCCAACCTCCAGGATGAGTCTGTCATCGATGGACTCATATTTGAGCTCAACCAAATTTATCCTGAGGTTTCACAGATGCCTGGCAAAATTGTGAAACTGGATGATCCAGGCAATCTTTTCCCAGAGTATGATTCAGTTGAAGAGATGGATGTTCAAGTAAAGGGTGAACCTTCTGGTAAGGATGTTGACATGACTACATAATTAGATAGTCATAGATGTATATGCAATGTTTTCAATCAATGTTATCAGTGACTTATTGATTCACCAAGTGCCAAGACCTGAGACCCGAGACCTGAATGCCAAGTGCCGAGGCCCAAAATCTGAAACACGAAATGAGTGGAAACCCACATTTTGCAAAATTGTTGACATGGAAATGTTAGATTGTCTTCAACAGTTTGCCAGATGTCATTTTCTAATCCCCGAGCCCAAAATACGAAACCCAGAAAACCTGTAGAACTCATTACAGGTTTTCTGGGTTTCGGATTTTGGGCTTGGGGATCGGAAAATGACATCTGGCAAACTGTTGAAGACAATCTAACATTTCCATATCAACAATTTTGCAAAATGTGGGTTTCCACTTGTTTCATGTTTTGTATTTCGGGCCTCAGCACTCGGCATTCGGGTCTCGGGTCTTGGCACTTGGTGAATCGATAAGTCACTGATAAGTTTCATGGTTTTGCGATGGGACCTCTGTGAAATTTGTAAGAAATACCATATGGTGTATTGTGTCCAGTGTTGTGTTTCGAGCCTTGGGTTTTGGGCATGGGCACTCAGCACTCAGCACTTGGTACTTGGTGATTCGACCATTGAGTTTCAGATTTCAGTGTTCTGGGAGTAACACTTTCATGTCAACAATTTTGCAACATTTAGTCTTCCACTCGTTTCGTGTTGCAGGTTTCAGGTCTCGGGTCTCAGCACTTGGTGAATCAATAAGTCAATGATGAATTCCAGGGTTTTAGGATTGGCACGCAGTGAATTTTGTAAGAAATTCCATATTGTGTATCACTTCCAGTCTTGGGTTTCGCAGCTTGGGTTTCAGGCTTCAGCACTCGGCACTAGGTGATTCAATCAGTCAGTGGTAACACTTTCGGTTTTGTGGTTCGGCTCTCAGCACTCAGTGATATGTCTCAGGACATTGATATTTCACACATTCCTGCAAGTATCCAGTTTCCAGTCTGGAGCTTCCGGTCATTGGGCGTCTGGAATTTGAGACAGTAATTTCTCGTGGAAAAATGGATGTTGTACCATGGGATTCGATTTTTGGGCATTGGGACTCGGTGATTCATGCATGTCAGACAAGTGCTTTATATATCTATATAGTAATCCAATACCTTGGCCTATACGTCTACACAATATCTCCCTACCTCGGCCCACCAGTCTATATCATAAATAATTTTCTGCACTCTCGGCCCACCTGTTGATATAATAAATGTTTTACTGCTCGCTCAGCCCACCTGTCTGTACAATTCACAATGACCTCAGCCCACCCGTCTATATAATAAATATTCCACTGCTTTCTTGGCCCACCTGTCTACAAAATTATTCCTGTACGTCGGCCCACCTGTCTATACAATGTACCTTTACATTGGCCCACCCATCTACAAAATGATTCCTATACATCGGCCCACCCATCTATACAATGTACCTTTACATTGGCCCACCTGTCTATATAATAATGATTGCCTCTCATCTCCCTTCAGCCTAGCTGTCTATAATATACATGTCCATCCTACTGTACATATTCCCCAGATGGGCCCATCCATCTCCATCGGTAGAAATATTCATCCCGGCCCATCTGACATCATCAAGCATATATATAACATTGGCATAGATGGGCCCACCCATCTCCATCAGAAATAATATTCCCCCCGGCCCATCCGTCAACATTGGGGATATACATCACATCAGCCCATAGTTTGCTGGCCCGTCTTATACGGGATATTATGTAGGTCGTGTGACCTGTATAATACAGAATTTGTCACTGAAGGGGCTTGATGATGTCCCAGTCAAATTGGTGAAAACCCAATATCAGCGAGCTGATGGCTCATATGAGACTATTCTGGAGAATCCAGGCATTTGCCAGTTTATATGGGAGCATTGCAAGGTGACCAACCACATACTCCAGAGACTCAAAAATGTTGGTGTTACCATATCTGCTACTAAGTTCATTCTAGCCGCACCAACCGCTATCATCATTGGTCACAAATGCACATTTGAAGGCAGAGTTCCGGAAGAGTCCAAAGTGCAGAAGATCTGAGATTGGCGTGAGTGTACCAACATCACGCAAGTACGGGGCTTCCTCGGAACATGTGGAGTCCTCCACATCTTCATTAAGAATTTTTCCAAGATTGCCAACCTCTCGTCAACCCTAGGCACAAGAACGCACTATTTGTATGGGAATTGGAACAGCAGGAAGCAATACAGACACTCAAGGACTTGATATTAGAGTCCCCTGCATTCTGCCCAATTGACTATGAATGTGATTGCGAAGTCATCCTTGCCGTTGATACCTCCAACATTGCCATAGGATTTATCCTTCTCCAAATTGGTAAAGACAGAAAGACCTAAATCACTTTGGATCCATCGCACTTACAGAAGTAGAGAGCCGCTATTCACAAGCGAAATTCAAGTTATATGGTTTGTTCCATGCACTTTGTGTGGTCCAAGTTTTTATTTTTGGTGTCACTAACCTTATGGTTGAGGTCAATGCTAAGTATATTAAGGGGATGATCAGTAACCCTGATCTCCAACCTAACACAACAATTAACCGATGGATCACTGGTATTCTCTTATTCCAATTCTTACTAGTTTATGTTCCTGCAGTGAAGCACGCTGGTGTTGATGGACTCTCAAGGAGACCTTGTGCACCCGAAGATCCAGGACAAGAGTGATGATCATGAGGACTGGCTTGACCACTCATACTCGTTTTCCATGGAGATTCTCAATGACTACACTTATGCTGTTGTGTGGATAGATTCCAATAACCTGCACTACCCATACACTGTATCCAGTACTGAACCTGCCCCCAGTCCTTTCCACATTTTTAGGTACCACTAGAAATTGTCCTGACAATATCCAGCATTCTGCACTCCGAGATCGCCAAAGCACAAGATGTGAGAATCCTGAATATTTAGAAGTTCCTAGAGAACTGAGAATGACCCTCGGAACTCTTGGATGAAGAATTCGAGACTTTCATTGGCACATCTCGCCAGTATTTTATCTTTGACGGCAGATTATGGAGGAAACATACACAGGGGAAGCATCAGCTCATTGTCCCCAAAGCAAAGCGGTATCAGCTACTCAAAGAGGCACATGATGACCTCAGGCACAAGGGAGTATTTACAATCCAAATCCATCTTCTTCTCCGATTTTGGTTGCCGCTAATGACCGATGACATCAAATGGTATAACAGGAGCTGTCACGAATGCCAGATCTGACAGACCCAGAAGTTGCACATTCCACCAATAGTTGCAATACCCAGAGGAATATTCCAAAGGAGTACACATTGACATCATGATGATGCTGAGAGCCAGTGGGTTTGACCGGATCATTCATGCTCACTGTGCACTCACTGCATATCTGGAATGGCGGATGCTCCACAAAGAATCTGCAAAGATTGTCACATCATTTATCTTTGAAGAACTAATTTGCAGATGGGGTCCAATCACCAAACTCATCACTGACAATGCCCTGGTCATGATAGCAGCAATGGATGACCTTGTTATGCAATATGGAATCAATCACATCCAAATATCACCGTACAACTCACAAGCTAACGGAATCATCAAGCGACATCACCAAGATGTCTGGGAGGCCATCATGAAAAGTTGCAAGGGGGATGAGTCTCACTGGTATCAGTATGTGCATGTGGTATTATGGGCCAAGAGAGTAACCATCCAGGTATCTACTGGACTCTCGCCGTACTTCATGGTACATGGAGTAGAACCTATCTTTCCCTTTGATCTCGCCGAAGCAACCTTCCTGGTTGACCTACCAAACCAAGAGAAACTAACTTCCGACAAACTTATAGCATGGTGTGCCCGTCAACTTATGAAGTACCAAGAAGATCTAGATTCCATCAAAGACAAGGTCATGAAAGTAAGATTCCAGTTTATCTTAGAATTCAAAACAAAGTTCTGAAACACCATCTGGGACCAAGATTTTGCTCTGGGCACTCTCATGCTAGTGCAGAACTTGAAGATAGAGTACAAGCTAAACCAGAAGACAAAGCCGAGGTACATTGGACCAATGATTGTCCTTCTCCGGACTCTCAGAGGATTGTACATATTAGGTGAGTTGGATGGAACAGTATCAAAGTTGCAATATGCGGCATTTCACTTGCTACCATATTACCCGAGAAGTGGCACCAAAGTATCAGTAACCAGAGTCATTGGTATGGATGATGAAGCCTTGGACAACATTGCAAGCGAAGCAGTAGAAGAGCTAGAAGACAAAGACATTGAATTTGGACTCAACGAATAAAGCCATCTCTAGTACAATAGCCTCTGTTTTATCCCAGGTTTCATCCGGCAATCTCTATTTATCCTTTCTCTCTCTGAACATTCTGAAATCACTTACATATGATCCACATGAAAGCATATAGACTCTTAATTAGCGAAACAAACTTCCAAGAATGAACAAAGGACTTCCGAGATATACCCCTGTGCACCAAGCATTACTATACATATTCTTCTTCTCACACAGAGGTAGTGTGTCATGCACTTTGATATTCAGAACCAAGGGAATACGATCTGAGCATCCAAAGGAATAGAAGCTGACAGCAAATCAATGAAGATAAGATGGACGGTACTCCACACCATCCGTACTTCATTCTTTAGTTCCAAATCTTCTTCCGATGATCACACGCTTAAACTTCTTATATTCAATTTTTAGGCACAGCGAAGTTCTTACAGGTACAGGAATATGGGCATGGTACTGGATCAAGACTTAGACAGAGAAAAAGAGAAACTATGTAAAATGATATTGTAAGAATGGTGCCCTACTTGCGAAGGTGGTGCCGCTTTGTTACAAGTCAGGCAAGACAATCCACCACCAACCTAAGTTCCTTCGTGTGTCCCTCTGCTTGCTGTGCATGAGCCTCCATCAGCAGCAGTTCCCCCTCCAATGCCTCATCCACCCTGTCCCACTCCTCTTCCTCCTCTACAGATTCATCCACCGCTTTCCTCTTCGCAGCACGTATGGGGTGTTCGCCCTCTGCAGCTGACACAGTGCATGGTTCTGGACTGGGTGCCAGGCGAGATGGGCCAGCAACCGGCACCAGAGTTACTCCCACAGGTGCCTGTGCAGCCTTCTTGCCCTCTGAGAAAGACATCAGTATAAAGTAAGCAAAGAGCAAGCAAAAAAACTTACTAGGCAGGGTAGTGCTGTATTTGCACCAGACATGTGCCTTCTTGCATGAGTGGCAGCTTTGCCCAGCGCTACCGAGGCACCCGAGATTCTGCTGCTTGCATCAGCTGCACTGCTTAGAGTAGCGGATCATAGTCAACGAGTTCACTGACATGCAACCAGTCTAAGGGAAGGAGTTAAGAAAGATGACAATGACAGGAAAGGAAAACTCACCTTAGGGCAAACAATGATGGCCTGATCCACAGCTTCTTTCTCCTCCTCCTCCTCCTCCTCCTCCTCCTCCTCCTCCTCCTCCTCCTCCTCCTCTGACATCTCAGTATCTACTGCTTCCTCCTCCCCAACAACCTCCTTCAATTTCTCAACTGCCACCTCCGCGATCTTCTTTAGGTGTTCCTCCTTGGTGAGCCTCTTGCATTCTTCCTTGGTAGCCTTCTCCTCAGCTTGCTTCATGGCCTGCTCCTTCACAAGTCAAATGGCCTTGTGAACGGTCCAAAATGCAGTAATGCAGGCTTCACCCTTCTTGGCAAGCGCAGACGTCAGAGAGAGAGTCACTCCCTTCTCCTTTGCCTCTTCTTGGCAAAGGGAGAATTTACCTTGAAAAGAGATCAGTAAACCAAGGGCAAGGGAAGAATGAAGGAACTTACAAAGCATTTGGTCCAGTCACAGCACCAAGTTTCCTTCTCAAGGAAGGATGTGTCGTCCTTCAGAATCAGAACAGAGAGCTGTTCCACCTCCCCAGATAACACGTGGAATTAGCGCAGAATGCGCTCAGCATCAGGGTTAACAGATGATTGGAAAAAGAAAGACATGATGGTATAAAGTTGAGAAGAGAGGTGAATGGCAAGAAGGAGCAAGACTTTATAGGGAATGACAAATTCACCACAGCAGACTTCTATTTTTCTGTCCACTTCTCGCAATTCGCCAAACCACCGAACTCCGCATCATTTCCCTTTTTGGAACTTCGGTCACGTGCACTCAAATTCACAGAATTTTTACTAAGTCCATTCAAGTATTGGTGACCGAGGACAGTCAGTATTTAAGTCCTCCACAAATGTAATGATGGTCACAGCGCTGGGCTTAGAACCAGTCATTCTAATACTTATGTCCCATACCATTCCTCAACCTCTCTTGACCTTCCAAAGGTCGCATGCACTTGTCTGAACCATCCACAGGCAGTCCTTGCATTCTGAGGCCCATCCAAACCTTGCAGATTACTGTACCATGTCCTATCCTCATCCTTTTGACTTCGCTGGTGCATTTTCCTTTATTCTATCTATATGTTGACTATGTCATAGTGCTACCACAGATAAAATCCATCAGCATCCTGTCGAGAGTCTCAGAATATGTATAAACGGTATGCCTCACAGCTTATTACATGTACACTTGCATTGCTGCTTGCCTTGTGGCTTATTACATAGGTTCAGACTTGCTTATCTCACTACTAGTTTTGCCTATGCATTCCAGTTTCTCACAGAAGTAGGATATAATCTCGCTCACTTACTACTGGTACTCCACTTCACTTCCCATACTTCAAGTCATAGTTAGTAGAGTCACCTCAGTATATTTGGAACTGCGCAATTGATCTTTTGTTTATTCGGAACGATTGTTTGGCTAGACTGCTTCCAATTTTGCACCACATTTATTCTTGAGTTCCAGTAGATTAGTGTTGTTCCGAACTTCAGACATTTTGCAAAGTCTTATATTTTTTGACACATCAACATACCAACATATTCTGACCTTCAGACAACTCTCACAAACCTCAGAAGACACTGTGCTACTTTGGACAGCACTTTTGCAGCTTCGGACGACCTTTGGTTGCATTGGACAAGTATCTTGGTACTTTGGATGTAGTCTCGGAACTTCAGACAAACATTAGAGGTTTACTTTCCAAAATCTTGTCTCCTCTCTAACTGTATAGACTTCCCTTGCATTTTATTAAGGTAGTTCTTTAGGTTGTCTCTTGGGATGAAGCTCACCTGCATCTCTCAGGACTTGGGACTCACCTTCTGTAGAGCCCAGCCCAGGATTACTCTTTCCACCACTTTCCATGAGAAAGCCTTGAATGGTTATTTAATTTGCAGCAGAATTTTGAAGAATGAGAATGCTTAACAGGAAGGACACACTTATGCCATCATCTTGTGCCTGCCATGATGCTAAGATGACACAACCTTATCATCAACTCCCTGCAATAATATAGATTCACAGAGATCAATGACTATGTACCAACAACCCGGATTTATCACATTATACATAACCATATTTACCAGTAGCATAACTGCAACCATCTGTACAAGTGTTTTGTGAATCATGCCCTAACCTGCCAAGTCTCAAAACCGTCCAATCACCAACCCTATGGACTTCTCGACACACTCAAGGTTCCTACACAGCCCTGGCAGACTATAGATGTGGACTTTGTAGGTCTGCTACCAGAGTCCAAAACCCTTAATGGAACATTTGATATGATATTAGTTGCAATCAACCATCTCACTTCTATGGTACACTTAGCAGCTACCAAACAGACCTACTGGGCTAAGGACATAGCTGAAGTGATGTTCCACCTTGTGTACAAACACCATGGTATGCCATCCAACATTGTGAGCAACAGAGACACTCTATTTATGAGTATGTTCTGGCAGCAGTTTCACCAGCTCACAGGTGTAGAGCTTCAGATGTCAACATCATTTCACCCACAGTCAGATGACACAACTGAGCATGCTAACCATACTATTACTCAGATGCTAAGGCAGGTGGTATCGCCTAACTAGCATGACTGGGCGATCAAGCTCCCAGCAATTGAGTTTGCAATAAACTTGGCTTGTTCTGACACAACAAAGTACCTGCTGTTCATACTCAATGTTACAAGAACATCTAGACGCTTGGGCCCCTACTATTTTTCTCCTCCTCATCCTCCTCGTATCTGCCCTCGCATCATACCCTTACCCCGACCTCACCCTCGTTATCCTCGTCATCCTCGCATTCCCTTTCGCCCTCTACTTGTTGCTCCAGCAGAGCCAGTACATCTGGCCGGACCCTTTCGCTGACGAAGCATACCCATGCTCTGTTCCACCACCTGACTGATCCTGCGGACAGTCCCTTTGCCCTTACCGTCTGGACGGTAACCTATGATCTGATGCACGACGCATCCCCTTTGCCCTTTTTCCTTTCGTGATCTCTGACTCAGTGCGCAGTTGCACATGCGACTTATACTTAGATCCGCAGCTGCATGATCGTGCCCCTGCGTGTTTCACTTCTTATTTCGATCTTTGACTCACTTTCTTATCTAGCACGTTCTACCTCGACTAAACGTGCCTTCCTGTTATGGTTATACCCTTTACCGATTGCCTCTCCTGGTAGTACGAGTTATCACCCACTAATACGTCTCCTGTCCTCTATATAAACTCGCTACCATGTACTATATTCCCTAACTTGAATCTACTTGGTTCTTGACCTCCTACTCTCACCAGAGTGATCCTTTCTGCCTCGCCAGCAGTCTATATTCTATCTTCTTATCTGCTCCTCGCGGATAAGCCTATAGTCTCGATCTTTACTCATCGACTTCGTTGACGAGCAAAGCCCCTGTTAACTAGTCGGACTTCTGTCCTTCTAATTAACGACGATCCTTACGATTAACCTTCGGGTGTCGTAAGCCTAGGCCGATACAGCTTGTCGTCTCGCAACCGCTTGACGTAAGCTACCCGATTTGGACATAGGCATTAAATCTTACTTGCTGACGCGTCGCCAAGTAAGACCCCTAACCTTGGGCTAGCCCAAGGACGTCCTCGACCGTTGACGACACAAGCTCTGTTTGAGCGTCGCCAACAGATACCATCCAAGTCGTAACACTCAACTATGGAAGATTACCCCCTCCCCTTATCTGGAACACCAAATCTGAATTCCTGGGCATCCGCGTGTTTGCACAGCGAATGAAGGATGCGATAATGAATGCACATGACTCAATCATTGCAGCTCGTGTCAAGAACACTGTAAACACTAATCGGAAACAGCTGGAATCTCCCTTTGTAAAGGGAGACCTGGTGTACCTGTCAATAGAGAACCTATCTTCACCGAAGGGGTGTGCCTGCAAATTAGCCCTGAAATTCATTGGGCTGTACAGGATCCTTGAGGACTACAAGAACAACTTGTTCTTACTAGACCTATCAGCTCACCTTAAACAGCATGGTATTCACCTGTCATTTCATGCTCACCTACTTCGCATGCACGTTCCCAATGATGATCGACGATTCCCAGGACACCAGCTAGACCAAGTCGCTGATATTGGGCAGCTTGAGGAATGGTCCATTTCCAAGATTGTGAATCATCAGGGTGCTGGCACTGACACCCTATTTGAGGTGGAATTCACAGCTGGTGACTGCATATGGATGCTATATCACCAAGTGTCATGACTTGAGGCCTTAACCCAGTACTTTGAAGCCATTGGTGCCCCTGGTATTGCATACTTGCCGAAGGAATTCCTCAGGCACCGGACATATCCCCATAAACTCAATTGATATTGCTGCCATGGAAGCAACTTTCAGGATCATCAACCAAATGTTGTCTGATTTCTTGCCTCCATCTCGCTTAAAGACAGGCCCATTTACCTATTTAATGCACACGGTTGATCTCCCTCCACATCATTCTCCCTGCCAAACACTGCCAATGACCCCATTCTCTACTCCTGCTGTCAATGCCATGAACATTGACCACCCAGCTGACTGGAAAGAGCCTGGAGAGCACTATCCTACTCCCAGACCCTCCAGGTCTGGTTGAGGACATCCTGGATGTTATCATAGAGGGAGAGGAGGGTGTAATCACTCTCCTCGACAGTGCGAGCATGACTCTGATGCCCTCAGTGCCTTCACGTGCTTCTTCCGTGCCGAGGCCCAAGCCAGTAAGCACCTTCCAAGGCATTGGCCTGCTCCTTGTTCTTATTGCTGCCATCAATTAGAAGAATTAGCAACTAGAAAAGAGGTGCATGCCTTTGATCAACAGATTAGGGCTGAGCACTCATGCTCTTTTCCCCCTTACTACCCCCCTAGTCGAAATCTCACTGTCAACTACCGTCGTCCCCAGAAGGATCTCTGCTCCAGGACCGAGCATCCCCAATGGGCACCTCGTACTGTTGGTGCACCAGACAGATGTCCATCCACAGCTGCTCAGGTTATTGCTGATATCACCAGCAACGCTGAGGCAATCCTTGCCCCTGCCCCCACCCCAATCATTGCTACTCCTGACCCTGGACCAGACATAGATGAGATCATAGTGGCAGCTGAGCAACGTGCTCATCCTGTTCTTACTCTTAGCCACTTTTGCCTTGATGAGCGTACCTCATGAAGCGTAATGAGCTCAAATCACCTAAAGAAAAGGTCATCTCAGTAGACATGACCTGGAGGGCATATGTGACCCTCGATAAAAGCCATCACACTACTTTAGTAGGTGATGGCAACCAATGTCCAGTGTTGCCCTCGTAGTTCTAGTATTTCCTTTTTCTTCCATACAATTCTCTACCTACAGTATATAAGCAGCTTACTTAGTACTCATAGGGCATTCAATCTTTCCCCCACAAATAGACTTAAGTTTGGACAGTTACCTCGTCTGAAGCTTGAGCATATTTGACATCACACGCATATACACTTTCTAAGTGTTACAGGTGCTTAGTGTGCTCAATCTTCTTCAGTATCTGCCGGCGGTGTGACGTCCTGGAGCAATGATCAAACATCGAATAAAATTGTAACAGAAGAAACTAGAATTACTCAGTACATAGAGTATACCTCCGGATGCCCCAACGGACAATGAACAATGATTAAAACGAAAAGAAACGAAAAAACGAAAAATTTGGTCATTCAAACCTGTCTACTCGACTCTAGTATATCTTTCAATGAGATATTGCTTCTCTCGCACATTCCGCGGAAAAGTCCACCCTCTATGTTGAAAAGGTTGGACGGAGTATCAAATTCCTTTGATAGAGTATGAGTATTAACCGCTGAAAGACGTTCAAAACAACCTACGGCAACAAGACCAGCGTCAAGGACCAGAATCCGGTCGTATGAAATGATAGTACGAAGTCGGTCTGAAGTATCATCACATTACAGCATTGCACCGAGTACACAGAAGATAAAACGCACGAGCAATACAAAGCAGCGTCCGATCACTGAATTCCGTCTGGATAGTGTGTTGGATCTTGCTATCCGTATCGAGATCGACAGAGGCTCTGAAAAAAAAATCAGGATCAGACTCCAGGAGAAGAACTTGAGCGCATGACTGACGTGGCCTCATCAAGCACAACAACTTTGCAGTCTTTCACTAACGCACGAGCCAGACTGAGCAGAGATCTCTCTCCAACACTTAGATTCGCTCCCTCGCTCTCGATGGTACTGTCAAGGTCGTAGCGGCTGGTGGAAGCTTGCTCACTTCCGACGCCATCATCGGCAGAAGACCGTTTTGAGGTGGTGCTAGAATCAAGCAGACAAGATCGATGCAACGCATCCCATAGTTCTGTATCATTGTGCTGGGAGAATGGATCCAGGTTGGAGCGTATGGTCCCTGATAATTATTTAGTACTTCACACAAGACCGCGTTGATCTGCGTACTAACCGCTGAATAGAAGGGGCTATCAAGTTCATACGTTAGTCCTGTATTAGGTTATACAAGGAAACTTACAGACATCCTGTGGGATAATAGAGATCCTGGAGCGGAGATCTTTAAGACCGATTGTAGATATATCGACACTAGAAGAGGTGAACCAACAATATTCGTCACGAGCAATGACCCACGCACCCATCAATAGTGATTGAACCACCAGACAATTTGACAATTCGAAACAGTGCAAGCATCAATGAGGATTTGCCAGCGCCGGTCCTGAGGAGACACTACATTAGTCACATACATCTGTAGGTCTAACAAGCCAGCTGACCTTCCAACAACGCCTATCTTTTCGCCTCCCCTAATCTTGACCGAGATGCCTTTCAATACATTTGGAAGACTCGGCCTATATGCCATTTTGACGTCCTCAAATTCGATGGCACCCTGCTCGGGCCATTGTGCTGGGGGCTTTCGTTCTTCGATCTCATACGGAGCCTCTTGAGGTATCGTGTCGCCTGCAACGAACTCTACCACTGTGAGATGTAAGCGAGAGTTAAGGCATGATGGAATTGGCGGCTCACATCGCTCCACTGAATTCATGTAATTCTGAGTCAAACAACAGTTCGATAGCCTGTGATGTGAAATAGGAAGGAAAACCTTACTTCAACGTCTGCTGTTTGTCTGGTTAACAGACTACACATTTGTGACAGCGCGACTGTGACACAAAGAGGTTAATCGTATGTACTGTAGTGGCAGTATTGGGAGACCCACTGGTATATGTCAGTACCAACCCTATCTGAGCGGCGTTTATCCCAGAGACGTCGATCACAGCGAGAAGAGCAACCTATTGAGATCATAGCACAGGGTCAGTCTGAGGTATCTGTCGTTAAGTAAACGCCCACAATAAAAATTAATATGCCTGCCATGAAGTCCAACCTTATTGCAAGCCATCTGAGAGAAGGCGATGAACCAACGACCAGCAAGACGTGTATAAAGTTGCTTACCTCTGATTCGCGACCACGATGATTAGAGCTCTATCCTCCAGATCAATGTAGTATCTATTGGCAGCAATAAACCGCCTCATTTCTCCGTAACTTCGGATTGTGGGAAGTCCTGTCAAGGTCTCCGAAAAGTGGGCATACAGAAGAGAACGAAGCATAGAGTCTGATGGCCAATTTCAACAAAGACTTTTCCAGTCAAAGGTACAACAAACCTAAGCGCTTGACTTCACGAGCACTAGCTCGATAAAAGGCACCAAAATAGCCGTAACCGAGAGCGATAAAGAACACAGCAATAACTAGACAAGTATGAGCCATATCCTCGCAGATTGTATCATATACTGACCAAAGTACGGTTCAAGGACAGAAACGATGACGACAGAGCCCGTCACGCTGGCCATTGTAATGGCAACTGGATCTCCAGTCAGTCTCCGTAAACGAAGTATGCGACTGACGTACGTAATCTCGTTGATTCTTCACCCATGGTTAAGTAACATCTCACCATGTAGTGACTAATGACTTACGTGGTAGTTGATTGTCAATACCTGAATGAAAGGTTTCAGCAAGTATAACATAGCACAAACTAGTGAGATACGGACCATCTATATCTTTGCCAAAAATACTCAGGATTCGGCCCATAGGCTACAGGAACATGATAAATGTTGATTCTAGCGCTTTCATACGCAACCACTTACTGTAGTGTCGAAAAAGGACATGGATGCATGAAAGATGTTGCGTACGGACTTGTGGTGCAGGCTTTGAGACACATAATAGGAAATGAAGTCCATTGCAGCACCGCTGAAGCAAGCTGTGTTGAGCGAGCGTGCCGCTATCTATGATACGAACCGACTTACAGCAAGAATGTGAAGATTGCTTGACCAATCCCCAGACACCCGTACAGCGTCTGATAGAACGAGTTTGGTCGGTCGAATTTGCTGCGCCAGGATTTAGAAAAGGATGCTGGTAGTCAATGAAAAGACACTAACTTTGCCTCCCACCAAACTAGCGTGTACGAGTTCAAGATCAGGCTTCCCTGCATCGCAAGCATGAAAAGAATAATCAGGGGAACTGTTATTGAACCGCGTCCCGCACTCAAATAGGTCCAATACACTTTGAAACTGTTTCAATCCAAGGAAACATCTCAGATAAACTTGATCGCACCTTTCCAGGACACAGAGCCCGTCGACCGCTTCTCTTTGACGATCAAGCGACCTTCGAGTTTGCCACTGCCAGTAGCCCGTTCTCTGGTTCTTTCCGACTTCAACTTTACATCCTCGATGGTGATGCTTGTCTGCGGAGTAGCTTTCTCTTCCGGGGCTTCGTCTTCCCCTTCTGACGCGTGGCCACCGAACTCTAGGTCCAAGCGCGCAAAATCGCCACCGCGAGAGATCAGATCGTCGTAGGTTCCACTCTCTGTGATGACGCCGTTGTTTAGCGTATATATATAATCTACTTGAGAGAGGAAGTGGATCGCATGCGTGACAAGAATGACAGTAATGCCACGATTTCGTAGGGCACCCACGATAGCATCTTGGAACAAGGACTTTCCGACATGGGCATCCACTAAAGGCATTCTTCAGTATGATAGACGTAATAAAAATCACATAGCTCGCCTGCCGAGAGTGGGTCATCAAATATAACGATTTCAGGTTCAAAGTACAGGGCACGAGCAATGTTAACCTGTAAGGAAGATAAAGATCGGTTCTTGACGGATGCAAGCCTCGGACTCACTCTCTGCTTTTGGCCACCGCTGAGATTGATTCCCTTTTCTCCGATCTGAATAGAACATAAGCAGTGTTATCAAGTTAAATTCGCTCACGTACCTCAGTCAGATCACCATCTGGGAGTAGTTGAAGATCTGGAAGTAGACAAGCGATTTCGATGACGCGCCAATATCTGTCTTCCTCGAACGGTTGACCAAAAGTAATATTATCACGCTGGAGTAAGATGTTAGATGTATTTGTCCTTGTTAGGGCGACAGCATGCTGACCAATGTAGCATTCTGAATCCACGCGGTCTGCGGACAATAGCCAACGCGACCCCCAAACGAGACATGCCCGGAGACTTTCCTCATCTCACCTATCAGTCCTTGCAATAAACTGGACTGTTCATGGGGTCAGTAGTCGCTTCAAGGATTTCACTCGACAAAATTACCTTGCCGCTCCCGACAGGCCCAACTACAGCAACAAGCTGGCCTCGTGGAATGGCCATGGTCACATTCTTTACCTGAAAAAGAGGTGTATCTTTTCCAGAAGCGGGCTTTTCCTTCGCGATGTCCTCATTCACGGTCTTGTCCTTGCCCCTCGATGGATCGCCGCCGCGTGCACCCTTCGAGTTGAAAGCCTCACCAGAATCTTTTCCATACAACTCCCACTCAAATGTCGCGTCCTTCGTCAAAAGCGCGAATTCTTGGTCCTTATCAATCACGAGTGTGTCTTCGGAAATAGAATCTGCGCGGAACACGTGTGTGAGCCGCTGAATCGCACTGAATGCATCGGGGATAGCTGATAGAGCGCGAGGCATAAACATCATTGGTTGCCGGAGAACCTGTTTATCTCTCGGTTAGGCACGTGACTATGTCCACCGCAGGAAACAATTTCACTTGGAACAAACTCAGCGAACTGAACATGACAGCAACGTTAAAGTTGTGTGATGTAAGGGTGTACGTGACGAAAGCGAGTGTGGCAGCGAGGACTGGCAGCGAAGTCGCGAGCGCCAAGCTGTCAGTGTGTAGAGTAAATTAGGAGGCGTTGCCATGCTATACATATCTTGACTTACTTCGCCGATGTTAGATGAAGAATCCATCTAATACCACGCAGTTCCTTCTTCCGAAGGTCGGAGATTCCTGAGCGATGTTCTTGAGTATTTGTTGAGATTCCTTTGCATCAAGCTTACTTCGAAGGAAAGGAACCTCGTAGGAGAAGTACTTGACAACCCGCATAGCCCCTGTGGACTTCTTCAGCATCCTTGCACGTCCCAGCTGCCCTAAAGTTACATACCGAGTACCTCTAGCAAAACTTTGGCTCGTTTATCGGTCCATTTCATCGACACTGAGCGAGTACGGTGCTGCAGTGCCATTAACTGTTGTTGAATCGGAATCATGAGGACAAATAGCGAGAAACCAGCGAGTGCAGACGGCCCGAGCTAGTTTTTAAGTGCGTTAGAGCAGGCCGAACACTTCACAGCGTATAACAAACCTCGGTTAAAAGAATGATTAAACAAACGGTGACCTGAATAGGCGCGGTCCAGGCTTGAGGACAGTAAATCATCTCTAAATCTAAATATATTCTATGTACTGACCTGCGTGCTAGTAACGAGGGACAGGGTACAAGTTAGTCGACAGCACGTGCGTAATACTTAAGTTTGCAACTCACGAACCACTGCGCACATGCGTCAATCCTGCTCACGTCAGTAGAAATATGGTTAATGAGCGTGGCGTTGTTGATTTTTATACGCGCTTTGCCTGTGAGGTTGACTCCACGCTCGTAAATGCATGTTATCAGCGCGGCTCTAGCCAGTACGCCTGTTTCCATTGAACGCCAAAAGAACTTGAAAACATTAGGTGAGCCGAGTGTAATTCGTAAAATTTTACAAACCTGGTGGGTGCAAACACTAGCTATTATGGTGAGTGCAAAGAGCCCAACAGCCATGGCAATACCAAGACCGACATTAGGGGCAGGTGTTCCTGCAATGATCGCGGCGGAACGGTCCTGCGCAAAGACAATTATTTGCTACGGGGAAAGAACAAACATCAGAGGTTACCACAATCAAATACAGGCTCTTATTTACCCGAAGGACGATGGGACCCATAAGTAGTGCCGTATCGCCAATGACCTATTAAGTTGGTGTTATACATTGATCACGACAGTAACAATTTATGAAGAAAACCCATACCTTGTATATACCGCCGATCCAGAAGATACCATGAAAGACATCATTCAAAGCCCAAGTAAGGCTAGCCTCTTTCCGCCCTTCGGATTCTCGCCAATGGTTTTGAAACGCCGCATATCGTTCAGACCAAGTCGCGCCTTGTTTCTGGCCATTCCTTGAAATTGCACGCATGGCCCAGGCGGTACACTTGAAGATAGATGGGCTGAGTTCGCCACTCTCAAGTCGTGCGTTCCAGTCAGCTGCTGCCTCAACACGTCGCTGCCATGCAGCGTCAAGTTTAGCGGCAAGGACAGCTGACTCTCGGGATGGGTCCATTTTGTATAGGTCAGATGCTTGTAATGTGCGCTGATATCCGAGAATCTGGATATATGCGTTATAATAGTATACGTTGGGATCAGCGTTCGACGACTGACCGTTATATCTGTGACCCAGGAGAAGGTGAGCTGAGAGAAAATGGAAGCATTGGCCAAAGGGGTTAGCTGTAGAAAAACGTCCTATTAAGAAGGTCGTTTAAAAAAGCAGGGTAGGGGATTCGCGCACCGCCACGTCCTCCAGGGACAGAGGAGCTGGAGGTGGTGGATCCTTGGGTAACCTTCTCGCGCCCCCATGAGCTTCGGAGGACATTTTTTGAAAAATAGCATCACTTACCACAGCTGCCACCATTTTTGACGCACATTGGCATACTCATTACCGGTATCGAGCTGGAGGTTTATAGGCCGAAGGTTGTCTGCGTTGGCCTCCTTGGCCTTTTCGCTGTCTGCCTTCATAGATTTTTCTGACCGTTGTGAGTTCGTATGGAACGAGACAACGACAGAAAATACTGGGCTAGATGTATATCAGCAGTAAAGAAGCGGAGCATCGGCCTCCGAGGTATGCGTTATAAATATTACAGGGAGATAAGCGTGAGGCGTAGCCCTACGGTCACAATTACGTCGCATCCGAGTCGAGGAAGAGAGCTTGCCAGACATGTGACTACTGCGCGCTCCGAGCTGTCATTGGTTCTGAACGACCTCGGACTCAGATTCCAAATTCGATTCCACACTAGAAGTTGATGCGACCATAACGGGAGAAACGAGTATATGTTGTTGTGCTCCTCGTCTGCATGTGCATAATAATTCCCGAGTCCGTCGTAGTCAGCATTACTAATGCATCATGACATGTATTTCTATTAATAGGTCCAAACTTCAAAATGAGTTGTCATGCTCACCTCCGAGTCAATGGTCAATAAGTCAGGCTGAACCATAAGTACCTATGACGGACATGGTACCTCGATACCTGTGCCCGATTCAGTGCCTGTGGAGGAAATGTAGACAGACAAGTATTGAGTAGGACACAAGTCTCAGACACATCCTGCAAAGTAAAACCAACTCAGGTTTACAGTGAACCGAGAAACAAACATGCGGTGTACACAAAAGTAACCTGTGTATGTAATTGCTATTATTTAAGGTTTAAGCCACTATAACTTACGGTATAAGGGTGATCGTAACCTCTACAGCACACACTGCCGCCAACTATCCCTATCAGATAAACCACAAGACGGACACGTTGTTCTAAAATTCTTGCAGTACCTTCCCCTGAAAAGATTGATGACACTTTGAGTGTTTCACAAGTAGTTTGGCGGGACTCGAAGCCAATAGAAAGCAATGTCCCAGAACTTAAGCCACGTCGCCCACGCCAAATTCGTCCGGGGAGGTGCCTCACCAGATATAATCCTCCAGCTCATCCGAGGCAAACTTATATAGCCATATCTTGATAAACTTCAGATGACTTCTTTAAGCGAATCTCGAACCTCCATTTCAATGTAGCAAACAACATGCCGTTATGAATAACATTTGCGACGTGGCCATGATATTACTGAGTGTGATGCCGACTCGGAGCATACCCGAGTCGTCTTTTCTCCCTTGTGGTCTCATTTCTCTTTTGAGCTGAGTATCTCGATCCAAGTCAGTTATGCTCGCACATTAATCTGCATCCCCAAAATTGCTCAACTCACGATTTCCTGATTCCAAGTTGACATCGTGCTAATGTGTCTCACAATCAGCATTTCACGTTGAGTATGTCCCGTACACACACTCCTCTCACGGAAAGCATGCAGTAAAGTATCCTTCACTGTCGGTAACAGATGCAGTGAGTATTCTGCATTGATGCTCGTCGTTTCCGTCTAATCTTATATTCTTACGTAGGTGTGAGCCTGTGGTACTCCAAACAGCTGGTTTACTGCAAGACGTTCTGATTCATTCTGAACAGCGGATGTATGAGTATGGGCTAACGCAACGTGATATCAGCGTGCCCAGACTTATCTCTCTTTTCAATTTACTTCAGAACACCATATCAGTCCAAGACAAGAATCCCGTCCTCCCTGCAGAGAATCATTGATTAATTTCAGTATTGGAAGTGCTAGACATCACTGCTAGTTGACGCTTGGACGTGCTCATGGAAGACCATTGTTGTCATGGCAGTCCATGTATCAGACTGAGCTATGAGCTTAGCATGATATCTTCGAACATCGAGGATGAGGCGTGGGCCCAGTACAAACATCTGCACGAACGATAAAATTTGGAGAATACCGCCATAGGTCCGCGTGGTAACGTTGGTTGGATACTATAAAAGTGATGAACGGTAGTAGCATGTAGACCAGTAACAGAACCGCGTACCAAAATCGTTGGAGACAAATAGCCAAGTTGGAAGCAAGACACAGCAACAAAGCTAGCACATACACAACTTCAGTGCTGAAGACAGCCCCAATAGTAATATGAACTAACCTTACAAAGTAAAGCATATGTGTTTTTATTAACACTGTGAAACAGTCCTCGATAGTCCATCTCGCCCATGGTCGTTGCAGCTCGCGGAAGTGTTTTACAGCACTCCAAAGTGCAAAGCACAATGCGAGGACCTCCCATGTAGTACCGAGCACCCAATACTCAACCGTCAGACGTATGTTTCCCCCAATAAGACACTGTTGGGTGCCGGTGAGGATAAGGTCCTCTGATATTCATCACATGAGCTTTATTCACTTCGATCTTTCGTCCGTAAATAATCTTACCACCTAGGATTTGGCGAACTTCTATCAGAGTAATCACTCCGCAGGCAATCATGATAGCGAGGAAGATCACAACGAGAAAGATAAGCACATTTCTCGATTGCTGATGCATGGCAAATAATCGAATGATCATGATGACTTGCGCGATGTCTCAGTCAAGCTGAGGTACTATAGATAAGTTGCTCACCGCCTAGCATGCAGTTGACGACAAAATTTGTGCACCATAGTGCGGTGTTGATAATTTCACCTGAAAAAAGAAATTACGAGCCTTAAAACTGCACAATGCGATTGAACTCACAGCTGTGGCACTCGTCATTTAAATTAACAAGCTAGTCGAGAATCTCACTCACCCCTACATCGGAGAGCAGTTGGTGTATGAGAATGACAGTCATCCGAGTCGGTACCGGCAGAATGCTTACCTTATTGGTCACGGAGTCTGATGGAAGAATTGCTGGATGCCCAAGGTTAGTAAAAGAAAGACATGCGGTGGACGTGAGACATACTGAACACAAAGATACTGATTGTGAAAGATCAATCAGAAGCACAGCACCAACATGTTAGGCAAACGTACGCGGCATACAGCATTCCAATATAACGCACCTAGAAAACTTTGAAGTAAGCACAGCGCTTCTAACAAGGCTAAGCTACGTACAGCAAGAAAAAGAGCGGTCGTGAAGGACCAGCGTCGTTTCTGCCCTGAATCAATTGCATTGCTCTGTTTCTTTTGTGATTGGGACGTTGCTCACCCAGACCAATTCAACCTAGTAGTATTTAGTGAGATGCCTGCTCGACAATTGAGCCAACCTACCTCCTGTCCAAACGTTAGTGCTGGAATCATCTTTTAGTGGTTCTTTCCAGTAGTTCCTCGATGTTACATTGCTCACCCCAGTCGTACGCAACGACAACAGAAGAAGCTGCTACGAAACACATACGGGTTAGATTGAGTATCACTGATACTGTCCGAGCAGCTGTCGACGAACCTATATAATCAGTATAATCACGGTTCAAATTGATCAGCGTCCACCGACCGGGGTCATCTGTGACTGATGACATGCTGGAGAGATGGTGTGTCGGAGTGAGTGGTGAACCCGACAAATATATACTGCAACGATATGGTAGTGTCAATGACTTCGGATCTAGCGCCCATATTACCGATACGCATAGTACGGTATGCACTATCCTCGAATCGGATGAATAATTGTTCCTCCCGTTTGACCAAAGAGACCGGCGTAGTTCTGATTGGATCAAGTTGGAAAGAATACTCCAGGCTCTATCGACTGCTCGGAGATCTGAAAAACAGCGTCAGGTGCGCGGAATGTTTGACCACCCGAACATGCTGGAAGTCATGTGTCCAGTATTCTTTGCCCATACCCAGGTTCCGGCGGAAGCGTAACGACCCATCCGAGACTTCTAGGTCTCTTATGTAAGACGTTCTGACGTATTCCACACGCAACAAACTGATTTTGAAACAGATAAGTCACCGGCAACCTCTCCCACATGGTGCCTTATCCTCACTTCACCTTCTGCCTCGGTCGTAGGCTACAAAAACTGTCATGAAAACGCAAAGTACGATAAGGGTACTGTGACCGACGAGAAATGCACTGCACTGTACTTGTCTGGGCAGGCACTTAGCCTAGTGACTGTATGCTCGCTAACTTAAAATGAGTAATGTACCGGTTCCATGATGAGTCGAACGATGATAGCGAAAGGTCTAACCGTTGCCGGTTCATCTCTAACTTACTACTAGTCCATATAAGCACTAGCCTGAGGTACTCAGATGAAAGCTGCGACGAGACGATAAACCTTGAAGGACACACCGATTTGGTCGATGACGCACATGCTCACTGTTCAAATCATGGCTAGGTAGTGAAGTGTGAGGCGGTGTTATCTCCAGACGAGAAGAAAATGGTTGGTGGCAGTTTGCAATGGGACATACAAGTCGTCGCAAGGTGGGTGCAACCTAAATTGAATCTGTCTGGTGAACGGATTTCACGACGTGGGCAAAATACTTCAAGTTCAAGGGTAGATAGGTCGAAGTTGTGCACTCGTGGCCCTTGCGTGGCCCATGTTCAACGTGACCAAGTGAGTCATTGTTTTGCCTCTAATTCGATCTGCCATAATCGATGGCACGATGCGTCTAACTAGTACTAGTACTAGACTGGTGATCATCCAAACACGCTTAGGGCCTGCATTCATTATCGACAAGATCTCAAATGCGGGGGTCTGAGAGATGTGGTAACCTTGGGCATGCTGTACGATATAGCACATTTTCACTGTCAGATGTATGAAACACTGTCATTGATAGTGACATTAAACATCATAGCAGCTCACCAGCAGGTTGGTACCAAAATGTCATAATTAGCATCTTTGAGAGATGATACATCGTGGTGTATCCGTGACTGTGGTGCCTGCGTGTCGCGTGAAGCAAAGCAAAGATGAAGAGCAAGGACAAGCAGGTTCCGTGAGCTCAGGCTCTGCTTCAAAAGTCCGAATCCAATACCAAAGACGACCTTTGCAGCTAGGGATGTCATCATTGACATGAGACAAAATTTCAAGATGATGGTTCTCGAAACGAGTAGCAACAGTGGTCCATACTTATGCGTCGAACAGCCCACCGACAACACCTCCCTTCAAAATATTCAATGAATCAGATTCAAGATTGAATGGTAACCGAGTAGCTCACTGAATACCCAGAGTTGAAGCGAGCTGATCTCTCGGACGCGGTATAGTGATGTGCAAGTTGGTTTAGGTTGAGTACCGCAAGTGCGCCTAACAGTTTTAATTGTGACTCGCCGATATTAACGCTAGTTCCCTATAAAAACTGTACCTCTGTAATAATTGATCAGTGATCACGACCAGCTTGAAGCAGCTTCACCCCAGGTGTCACGACATCAATAGCAGACTTACAACATATTTAGAGGTCTTCAGAAGATCAATAGCATTGGGCGAAAAGGCCCATTGTGCCAGATAGGCAGACATGACTACCAAAGCGTTTGATTTCGTATAGAATACAAAATTTAAGATGTTTCAATGTGAATTGGGTCACCTACATGGGGGTCGGGAGATACATCCGGGGTCCAAGAAAAGGTTCAACACGTTGGTTTCGCCCGCATCTTTGGCGGCGGTCTTCACTAGTCTCTCGCATTACGGTCGGTTCCATGCAGCATGGGTTCAACGGCAACGATCACGACACACAGTGGAATTTTCTCTGGAAGTCAGTTTAGATATCCAAATGGAGAAGATTAGAGAGCCATTTAATATGTGCTGGTTTCTTTTCCCGTGCGTCTCATTAATCGATTCCGATTACACAGCTGATTACACTCTGACAAATTCAATAACTTATTAGTCAATGCGGGCGAGATATTAACACATTGTAACATGAATCGGCCACGACCTCAACCCCGAAGCCGCGACAAGTTACAGTGCACGTAAACTGGATGTCAACTGAAGCCAAACACAGTCGGACTCGTGTTTTAACCGATGAAGGCTTCGAGTACGAACAGAGCACTACTCGCTTGAAAATGACTATTTATTCGTCCATGAATCTCCTCTCAATAGTCAGCCTATAAGTGTGCACCAACATTCATCATGGTCGCTTCAAATGATCAAAGATGTGCTAATTACCCTCCCCTTGACGGATCTCTGTGTCAACTAGACTTCACGGGTGACAGATATGAAAAGGTGGAGGGCAGCGCTAGAGCAGGTTTTGATATACCTTTGCCCACAAGCTGGACTGTGTAAGACGTCGAGGGATGGCTCAAGGTCCACGCTGGTGCTGCCAACGCCGACAATGCAGTTGATCCTGATATAGACCTTTCCGCTCAGAGTTTTGACAGGTAGGTCGAAAAAGAGTTCAGGCCAATGCTTTGCTTACTTCGTGCCTCTAGTCTCTCTGCGACATTGCTCAAAAATCGCATCATCGGCTCTCTGCACATCTTCAGATCGCGACGTTCAGGCATCAGGATTGCGGATTGACCCGGACATCATATTTTCAAGTCCTTCGATTCACCGGCTCGCGGAAAGCGTCATTAAGGCTGTATTGCAGCGGAATGGTGCATCCAAGGCTGATATCGAAAACATGATCGAGAGGTATTCAGTCGGATTAGGGAACTCTGTCGCAGGCGCCGACAACACTGTAGTTACTGGGTGCAGCCAAAGCGATCATGTCGTTGTCCTGACTGGGTCTACGGGTGGTCTTGGCTCATACCTGCTTGCAGATCTACTCCAGCGAGAGGACGTGTCCGTGGTACATGCCCTCAATCGCCCGTCAAAGGAGGCGTCGATACAACAACGACAGGAAGATTCGTTCAAATATCGCGGTTTTGAATTCACCCTGCTTCAGTCAGACAAACTAGTGTATGTAGAAACCGATACTTCCGCTGATCACCTAGGTCTGGATAAGGAGTTGTATCAGAAGGTTTGCTTCAATTCCAGTGTCAGAAAATTAATTAAAAATAGCGTAGATCTGCACGTCTGCCACTGTCATCATTCACAACGCTTGGACATCCAACTTGAATGCGGGGCTCTCGTCATTCGACTTTCATGTACGGGGAACGCGGAATCTTAGACTTGGCACTTCTCCACATCATCCAAAACCGCGTTTCATGTTCACATCTTCCATGTTATATGCTCAAAGTTCGGATAGAACGAAAGGACCACTCCCTGGAGAAGTACAATACGACGCAGGGGTCGCAGCAGGTCCTGGTTATGGCGCGAGCAAGTATATTTCGGGAAGGGTAAGTCACAAGCTACTTCGAGAGGGCATAGATTCTACGAATACTGTTCCAAACAAGGTTCTCGTCAACAGCAAGTTACCGTCGTCATCATTCAGAATTGGTCACATATCAGGAGGACCCCCGCGAGGAGTTTGGTCTACAAAAGACTGGCTACCGGTCACCATCGCATCAAGTGTAAGTTTAGGCGCACTTCCGGAAGCCAAAGGAGTAAGTCAGTCACTACCGAGGGTGTTTATTCATGACATGCCCGGTTTAGGTCGTGTCTTGGATCCCTCCACACGCCGTATCAAATGCTATTCTTGATGTAGCTTTCGCGGAAGAAGAACCTCCCATTGTGGTGGATCTGCGGCATCCGAGACCGGTCGTGAGTACAATGTTGATACAATCCATTGCGGACGCCTTGTTCGAGCGCAAGATAACAAGCTACCCGCTACCACTTGTGCCGTTCTCGGAGTGGTTCGAAAAGCTCGAATCGAGTGCCAAGGGCTTGAGCAAAGAGACTTTGAAGCGTATCGTACGTGTCTCTATATATAGAGGTCAGAACGTTCTCTCATCTTCGATTGCAGCCTGCCATCAAACTTCTCAACTTCCTGCGTTTCATGGCTCGATCAGATATCGCGATCAGGGCGTCTGGAGAGATGAGCTGCGAAGCGGCTGGCATGATTTCATTGACCACCGCCGTGGCTGAGCGTATCAGTCCAACGATGAAGGAGCTGAAGTCGCTGTCTTCAGCGGACGCAGCACAATGGGTAGATTATTGGACGGCGATGGAGATATTTCAATGAGGGGTTGGAAGACCGATAAGGCAAGAAGAAGGAGTAATTCACATGCACAAGGAGATAGATATAGACAGCAGTGGACTACGGGTGGGGGACTTAGCTCAGTGGAGTCGAACCAAAATGCTGTGTAGCACAATGAATATAGTCATCATCTCCTCGTGGGATCAACAAGCCTCCGGGCAAAAGCATCGCGGCACTGATAATGAGTCACTTCTCCCCTGAAAGAATGGGCATGTCAGAATATATCGTAGAGGCAAATATCGTATTCACCTAGGAGCATGAACTGCGATGACACTGCTACCCAGACGCTTATGGCATTGGGGACAGCTTTGCACGAGTCATCAGGCAACATCCACGCAGAAAGAATATTGGAAATACATTCTACTATCTGTGACTCTGACACGCCTAGACTCTAGCAGCATCAGCTTCCTCGCAACTTGTTCATTCTGCGCTTTGTGGATATTGCGGATAACGTGGCTGTCGAAAATTGGTGCTCGCAAAGCTTCTTGAAGGAATGGGCGCACGTCATGAGCGGTGACCAGGGGAGGAAGAAGTTGAAGAGTTTCAACAGAGTCTAAGCGAGGACTATGTCGACTGATCAAGTCTAAGGCAGGCTGTAATAAATTCGGCGCTGCTTTATCAGTGGGGCGGAGGTAGAGCCTCAGAAGAGTTAAGAAGATGCTTTTAGTGATTTCGTTTGGATTATATATTCGCTTGCAGTATCTACGGTAAGGTCAACAAGAGATCGAGATTGTAGCTGAGAAAACAGACATACTCTTCGGCCTTGGCATAATTCTTGAGCTTGTAAACGTAGAGCTCGAGAGCATGTTCGTGCCTTCCAATACGGCCCAGCAACACAGCTCGCGCTTCATACAGGTCTATAAAACGTAAGAATCAACATCCACGGTGAGTATTATTATGTAACTGACTTTCCGGCAGTAAGCCATACAAGCGATCGGGGCGGTAGTGATAAGTGACGTCAATGAAATGGAGGAGCTTTAAGTAAACTTCCAACTCATTTGCTAGCAGAAATTGGTCAGAAAAGTTATCAACTGGAAAAATAGCGACTAACCCTCGTCTCCTCGTTTGCGAGCACTCAAAGTCATATTCAGATAGAGCTCTGCCAGCCGATCATGAAATGCAGGACTCTCTTCGCCTTTCTCATCAATCAGATACTCGATGTAACGAGTAGATATGGAAAGATCAATCTTTTCGAGGTAATCCGTTACTTGAGTTCGAGGGAGTTCAACGTCATCAGATGTAAATATCTTGAATGAGAGATAATTGTCAGCAATGAACCGGACAAATATACGCAAGGACCACCTCGAAAGCCATATGACGGTCCTCTTCAAAGATCCAACGGGAGGACTCAAATACTTGGTCGATGTACTCAGGACCAAGTTTTCGCAGGTAAGATATAGACGGGTCAAGCTTGTCTCTCATGTCCGTTTCCTTCTCACTTAACCTGGGTAAGGTCATTGGTCTGTAAGCGCGATCGGTAAAAGGCATGAATACTCACTGGTGAAGGAGATTGAGAGCCTTAGCATGCATCTTCTTTCCATTATACAGATATATAAGCTCCACAAATTTCTGGTAGCGTTAGTAAATGCCACATTCGGATGCGTGTGTGCGTTCGACACACCTCTCGTGCCCGGAGCTCCTCCTCAACTTCTGATACTTCACACCAATTGGCCAATCGACAAAGTGCACCAAGGAGGGCTGGCTGAGTCACAAGATAAGACTTGAAGAGTGCTGTGTCCACAATCTGCGCAAACCGCACAAGCTGCTCTGGAGTCAACAGAGGCAAAGGAATGCTCGGCAATGCAAATAATTCTTCGGTCGACGTCTCGGAGAGGAAAGGCCATTGGTGAGACTGAGCTGGTGCAATCTGTACCGCTGCGAGCGCGCCTGCAACTTTCGGACGACGATCGGTAAGATATCGCCATAGAGCATCCACCGACCGGCTAAAGTCATCTGGAAGAATTGTTGAGGCGACGAATTAACAAAGACAAAGCGTCTGACCGACCTACTTGCTTTACCTTCTTCTTCCCACTAATAGATACTACGTCATCATCTTTGTCCTTCGAGGAGGATAAAAGTGCCACAAAGGCAGTTCCACGACGAACGGCAGCCCTGACTGGCATCGCAGAGGACCCTGATTGCTCCAAAAGTTTTTCTTTGCTTTCATTGCCTTCATTCTGGGACTTTGTGGATATGGCATCATCGTTCTGTGGCGCGAGTGACTGCTGGTTTACAGGTCCCCCGAAGAGTGATATCCAGTTATCTGGAGAAACAGAAAGACGTCCGGCAATGCGCTCAGGATAGAGGGCAACGACCTTGGCGGGGTTGAGATCAAGCTCGATGAAAGAATTTATTGCATCGTCGAATTTTCCTAATCGGAACTGCGACACAGCGTGAAGGGCGCGAATGTGAATTCGTTGTTGGTTCTTCAGAAGGTAAATGTCATTACGTCTGTCACTCAAGGCGTGATTGAAAACCAACCTTGTCTGGTAAAAGAGTTTTGTCTAAAGTATCAAGCAATGATAGTGCATCCGAATAGAGACAGCGTTCAACAAGTTCATCAATCTGATCTCCCCATGACCTCATCCGGATTTGCCATATTGAGCTGCCCTCGGAAGTAGCTACTGTGCGGTCGCTCGGAGTAGCGACAAGGAAGATAGATGCCTTGGCAGCAGGAGAAGGCGTCAAGAGTCTAATTGTGCAAGTGGCAGTAGAGGATGCTGATGATGTGGGTGGGAAGGAGAGGGTTTGGACAGGTTGTGTTGTCAGTGACGATATAACTTGCACAACTGGAGAGGGGATGAAAGACGACTGAGGGGCAGCTGGAGCGCCTCCAGATGGAAGAGAAGTACCTCCGTTCGGTACCGGGACGGTACCAGGAGGAAGTATTGAGAAAATGTATGGATTGACAAAGGCTAGACAAGACCATCAGAAAACTGGGAGCGACAGGGTAGATTGGAATACTGACCAATTTCATCGGGTGGACTTGGCCAATCGATCGTCGTTGGCTTGGTCTGCCTTCCATCAGTGCCTATGATAAACCCCTGATCTACCAGAAGCTTCAGCTGTCTATTGTATCGAATATAAAACTTGTATCATACCGTCTTTGACAATGAGTGCCTCGGTATCGCTCAGCCGTACCAACCCAGGTTTGGCTCTGGCCCCCAGACCAAGGGTCATGTACCCAGTAAGCCCAGAAAACGCGCCCATGGATACATTCGCAGGTATAGGTGTGATGATATCAAGTGTTGTGAGCTTACTTATGGAGAACAGAGCATACTCGGTAGGTGAGTATGCAAAGCAAACGTTATCACTATCAAGAAACACTGCAACACGCGGCGAGTGAGGAAGAACGGTTTCCTACGTGCTGGCTTAGATGGGTCTTAGAAATGCAGCAAATTCGTACCCTGATTTCCTGTGCTTCACCATCCTTCCACGTGTATATCACTACCTTCCTTCGGCACCCGACTATAAGTTGTGTTACCATCGTAGGAATCGTGCCTGTGCCGACAGTATGAGCACCACCTTGAGCATCACTTGAGTCGAGGTTGTGCACGGAAGAGTGAACAGCGAATGTCAATGCACCCTTGGCTCTTGTAAGTGGTTTCGGAGGAGCAAAGCTTGGAAGAGGATACAGAGTTGGTATAGTTTCTGAGGGAAATGCTCAATTCACGACACTTGACAGATATGACTATATTATTGGTCGTACCAGAGAGGGAGACCAGGGAATTGATATCCTTGATATAGCCCAGTTGGTCAATAGGTCTACGAGACAAACCCTTCTTAGTGTCCACCAAAGTTGATCCATTCTCTTGGTATTGAAATGAGTACATCAACGTAACCAGCATCCCACAGTAGCATACCAGAAAGTTCGTTGTACTCGTAGATGAAGAGATTGCCTGTTGCTGTTCCAACATACAATTTGTCACCTGAAGATACCATCGTTGAGCATGCTACGCCTGCAAACATAATCAAGAGAACTTGCCCTGTACAAGTAAAGCCTCTGGTCTTTCTTTGAATCCGCTGAGGATTGTATTCGGCGGGTTGAACGGTGCCATGAGTCAAAATGATCACCGGCAGGTCATGAATGGAGGCCGGTACTAGTAGGGATATTGAATCCCACTGAATGTCGTAAGCGTTGTTGTCGCTTGTGAGTTATGTTTGCTTATTATGTACATAACGACACTTTTGTTCAAAGTGAACTTCAATGTCGCCATTTACTTAGATACTTCTTACTACCAGTAGCCTGGCACTAGTATTGTGCTATCTACCATAGCTGCGTGTCGCCTCGCTCGGCAACATCAATATGGGGTGCGCCAGGAGCAGCACGTCACCTGTCTGTTTCATGACTTGCCCTCCGTATTAGGGGGTGCATATATTAGCATGATTCAAAACTCACGACCAGGAAAAATGGAACATGATGCTATTCAGACCGACGGCTTTAATCTCTCCAGAACCTTGTTTGAAGGAAAATAATCCTCCAACCTGCGAATCATTCTCTCCACGGTGTTCAAGTAGTCATTCAAATCTGAAACTAGTTCTTCCTGAGAAAATGGTGGAGGAAATTTCTCTGGAAAAGCCTGCTCGAATGCGGCGTCGGCCTGTTCTGCAGTCAAGCTTAAGACTGTTAGCGTCTGTCATGGAGACTAGGGAAAGACTTACATCATAAGCGACTGTTTTTGTTCTTGTTCGCGTTCCTCTTCCCATTGGGTGACGTCCAGTATCCACTCCTTGCATTCTTGATATGCCATCTCCATAATCTGTTTCTCACTGTCAGAAAGGCTGTGTTGAAACAATAGTTTAGACGGTATATCGTGGCCTGGAAAGCATCCTGGAAAATAGTCATTCAGATGTTCTGCGAGCATGTACGACTCCGGTGCCGTCATAAGATAGTAAACATGCTATCTGAAATGAAGCTAAAAAGAGGTCGAGCTTGAATTTTGAGAAACGCACCAATAGACACAGATTCTTAGTGACCAATATATAATGCAGCCTGTCATCTTCGTCGTTCGTAACATGATCTTGGAGTTTCTTTAGCTCTCTTTCCGTGAGTAGTGTCATGTCTGGATCAGAATTAGGTTCCTTCGCATAGTATTCCTGCCACGACAACGCAACAGCAGACGCCTCAACTGCATATTTTCGGAAAGTGTCAACCATGGCTAGGCAGTCAAGTAAATCTGGGATCTGCCCCAGAATAAAGTGGGGGCGCAGGATGTTCCGCGTCGCGTAGAAGACAAGCGCAGGCGGTGCCTGTGCATCTGCAGATGTGGGTTCATTTTCATTTTCGATAATCGACGAAACATGGTCTGCATTGGCAAATGAGGTATGAACTTTGCGCACTAGAGATAACGAAAACGAAGCATACCGTATATTGCTCGGTGGCCTTCAGCGTTATATTCAGTACACATTCCCATCGTGGTAATCATCTGATAAAAGCGTTGCATGACTCGACGGTATATAAGCTATTCAGAGGGACCAGTGACGGAAAAGGGTTTAGGTCTAGCTGCATCAAAGGTGTCGTGCATAGACAGGAATGATTTTAAAGCACTAGTACTACAGAAGACGCGTCAAATCAAATCAGGTGACTCGTGATTATAACTGTCCGGCTATTGCCGGTGCGAGGCTGGCGCAAAATGTTCCGTTGAAAACTATTCATCTTCTTCGTCCGAGTCCCAAAATAAACAAGGCCCTCCATACATATCATCGTCATCTATTTCACTGCATTGTACACCATGGGGTGAGACTCGATGTGCGAATGCGGTAGGGACGCAAGGTGACTCTGTTTGCATCTCCGACTCTGCTACTGTAAAGGCACAAAGGGGCTCGTTTGTGAATTTCGTGACATTGGCAAGGTTGGGGTGATCAGGCGGAGGTCTTTCTTTCCACTGTGAATCTTCTGGATGTTGAAGATGATGGTGACAATGATCGGAGGTTTCCCGCAAGTGTTCTTCCTCATCGTTCATCATTGTCTTGGGTTGATCTTCGCTTTTTGACTCGGCCGATCGCGGGCTTATTGTCGAATTATGTGGTGTATTCCGTATATGTGCTGATTCGTCCAAACGACGCCTGACATAGCCGACACCCTCCCGACCGCGAGTAAAAGCGATGTCGTCATTGTCGTGTTGCTCTACGACCCCAAGATTTAAGATCTTCCCAATCGTTCTCCATGGGTCCGGGTCATTCAGGATGTCCAAAGGCAATCCAGGGTCATGTATATCCGAGTCGCCAAAAGAAGAAAACCCGTGCGACAAATTGAAAGTGTGTGATTCCACAGGTTCTGTTTGAGTGGCAGCATATGAGGTCTGAAAAGGTCGACTATGTCTTGTGTTAGATATCTCGGCGAAGGATTTTGCAATCACTTCCGACGTTTGGACAGTGTGGATTATCTTCCGAGCCTTTTGAGGAGTTGCAGGAACGTATTGCGTTTCGAAGGGTGGTGAAGTCGAAAATTGCTTAACATCATTCGTGTGGCAAAGAGACTGTGATGTAATATTGCTGCACTTGATGGAGCTATTCCATCCGAAGGACTCAGGAGAATCATGCGCAACGATGGGCGTAAGGGAACCAATCGGGGAAGTGGAGGAGGATGGCGATCGTTGTAAGAAATGTTTGTGGTCGGAACTCCATTCACCATGCAATTGTGAAAAGCCTTGCGATGAGGGTGGTGACGTGTCCATGTCGAGAATGTACTCTTCTGTTCTTTGAGAATTAGAAGCGGAAGAGAACCGAAAGCTGTTTGACGGAGATGAGGCAAATCGTTGCAGGTCGTGAAGATCGTGAGTAAGTATGGATCCACGAAGGTTTCCTGTCTCAGCAGTATCCATGTCGGCATAACCTGAGTCATTGATCCAGTTTCTGTGAAGACCATCTGCCTCGATACTCCGTAGTGGACTCTCATGATTAGTGATTGTACGATGGTTCGGTGAAGAAGACCGCGACATTCGTCCACTCGAATGATCATCGTAAATTCCTGCGTCGTCGTCGTTCTTCATTGGGAACAAATGGCCAGCGCTTCCTGAAGACCGACCAGTGAGAGAGAATATGTCACTAGACGTTCCTTGAAACTAAGGATATGGTCAGTGTAGTACTCAGATGCTCACTGTTCTCTCTGATGTTACCTGAACGTTCGACTCGCCATCAGCATCGATAGGCAGGGGAATATGTTCATCGGGATCAATGCCGGGGCCTCCATCTTCCGAGTCGGTGTGGGGTGACTTTCCCTGCATTGGCAGACCAATCATTTCTGAAAGAGGGATCAATAATATGCGGTCAATTGCATCACGATAGGCCACCGCTAACACGATCAGCGCATAGTATAAGACAGGTCGACAGATATCGGGGGATATATCACATACGATCAGAAAAATCAAGCATTCGAAGTATCTTGGAAAATCGTTCGCTGCATTTTTGGGTGCCAAATGAGTTTCTGTGGGTGATCGATGTGTCGCATAATGTTTTTGTATTATGTGCAGTGGATGGCCCAGGGTGGTTGCCTTTGATTTTCGCGTCTCGTTGTGCATGAGCAAAATTGATTTGACGTAAAACAGACTTCAGGGACATCTTTTCAGGCTTTCCCCTTCCTTCCTTCGTGTTGCACAATGCAGCTGCCAACCTCTGTTGACCGAAATGTCGCTTCTGAACCCGACCTGTACTGTCTTTGGTACGCGCTCGAGCAGCATTCCTACATGATATAAGGAATTTAGGCAACATAAATTTTGGTTTTCACTAACCTTCTCCCTCCCATGTAGTTAGCGCCTGTCATCTTTCACGTTGAATATGTGGTTAGTCGAGTAAATCACGTCAGGCTGAGTCAGCAAGGGGGACCGCTGGAGACTGGAGTCTGGAATCAGATTCCCGTCGCGTAATGCGCACGTGATTTTTAGTCACATCACAGTGATGGGTTGCCAGTGGCACGGGCGATTTCTTCATTGTTCCCAATCTTCAGTCGCTGCAACCTCTACACCTTCTCGATCACTAGTTTGTAAGTTGGGATCGCTGCAGATAGGCTGACCTATCTTCACTGCTCCTCATCTCGAGTACTTGAACTTCACAGTAATACTGATCAACATGATATTAAATCAACTGCGGGATGCATGGCATTCATCATCGATGTTCGTATCTCAAAGGAGTACCGGAACCCTGCGACTAGAGTCTAGTGTCCCACCTCTCTCTCACAGTTCACCTAATGACACTTCTAATCAGCACCGACCGCTTGGGAGTGGAACTTCCCGGGTCACTTTTGTGCATATTGATATATTTTCTTCTGTGATTTCCTTCTATAGTCACCTGGTGGCACGCGTCCAGCCACCCCATGCTCGAACACGGTGTGTGAACAACATACCGAGATATTTATGTTGTGCATTTTCTTCGCAACTAATCATCATCATCTACGTGCACTTCTCCCATTATCAGAGGATCCGGACTATCATCAGCCTCTTCGTACCACAGAGCGTCCACCATTAGGTGCTTGCTTTATATCAGCAGCCATGGGATGATACTGCACTGAGCACCTAAATAGAACACCCAGCAAGAACACAGGTAGGTACATACAGTGGGGCTAATGAACACGACGCTAGTATCGACAAAACACTAAAAGTTTAAAGCTACAATCTCACGCGAAAAACATCCTGGCCAGCATGAGTGAGTGGGTTTGTGCATAGCCCGATCGCCACTGGCTAAGGTTAAATGTCTGCTTCTCACAACTACTCGAACTCGCTACAGTTGCAACATCGCTGTCCATGTACCGTAAACTGGTATCAAAGTGATACTCGGCGCGAGCGCAGACCTTCTAAAATAGTGAGACATGAAATCAGTTACAGCTCCAAAGCGTCTACAAGAATACTCGTACATCCGCATCTTTGAAGAAAATTGTTAAGAATTTACTTGATAAAAGATGCAGAAGCACGTACAATACACAGGGGCAGGTATGGAGACGGATCGAGTTGCGCTCACATACGCATGGCAAAGAGTATATGCCACCTCTTGTATGCTAAGAATGCACAAAATTTAGTCAATACTTGTGCGTTCTTTGGCTGAAACTTACGGCCTGATATCAAAATTGAAAATCTCATCCTTCAATACTATGTAGTGGGCAGGTCGGCTTGCTGGAAATGGCCAGACATATCAGTTAGTCTGAATCGCTGCACATACTGTGCACCAACTTCCAAGTAGCCCGCCGTGGGACAAAAGGTAAAAGTCCTTGGCAATCGGATTGGCGATACCTTCGCTGGCGACGAACCCAGCTTGTACATTGCCACTCTTTCGATCTCCATCTTGACTATGAGAACTACTCAATAAGGAACAAAAGCACAGGAAAGGGTGCGTACGGGTTTGTGGGGAAGAAGCGAATGTGATGTCTACGAAGCAAGTTAGTGGTCGATTCTTGCCTGTGCAAAGTGGAAGATTACCTCTTCCCCACGATGAGGTAGGTGATTAGGGGCGAAGGGTCATTTAATTTGACTTCGGCCCAAACTCTTCTCACAGCCTCTAGATAAATAAGTTTATCAATCTTCTGCAAAATCTTTGTCTCCAACGAACCTTTAATGTCTTGGAACTCCAGTTCACCGACACCTGCATATTCACCTTCAGAGAGACCGTCTCTGAAGAACATGAGTCTTCTCGGGGCTTTCCCGTTGACCTTGCCATATCGTGTAATGGCGTCCTGTAAATGACAAATTAATTGTCCCGACAACCAGAAGGCAGTGTGTACATAAACCATAGGACCAAGCTCGCCTATTCTCTCCTGTCGCGGTTGCTGTACCCTCGATGTTGCACTATACTTGACGCCGTGTCGGTCATACGAAAAGACGACACTGGCAACCGAAGGCTTGTTCTGGACACCGGGTCCAGGATGACCAACATCGGCCCCTGAAAACGGTGTCAGTGCAAATGTCGGATCATTGATGGCATTACAGACCAAAAAACATGAAATCGTCTTTGGTCAACCAATCATATGCAGGCGATGATGGGACAGAGTTAACTCCCGTTAACCGAGCGTTGATTCTGTAGACAAACAAGTCTAGATGAGTTTCATGCGAAATTATGTTTTGAAATATTACGCGCTTGATGGCGATGTTGTTGCAGTATTGATCAAGTTGTCTCCCCGAAAACTTTGCGATGTTGTCTTCCCGCTGTGCAGTACGTGTTGGAAAATAACTAACGTTCGAGATATCAAGCTGAACCCACCACACACTGAGTAGATACCTAGTTGTGAGGTCAAGTCAGCCCAAAAATTTGTAATCAATGACGATACCTACGCCAAGGGTGACATCCCCCGCTCTCTTAACATCTTGGCGGATATCAGCAGCAGATTGGGGCAGGATAACTAGTACGATCTCAGGTGGCTTGTTGTAACCACGAGGGGCTCCGGCTGAAACCAATGCCAGCGAACATGCTTCCTTGATATCCTTCGAAATTGCGCCCTTTAGTCAAACAAAAACTTCAAAAAAAAAAAGCGCATACCCGATCTACCGAGCCGACACCACTACCTCGTTTGTATGACGGCTTAGCTTTCACGCCTACAATAAATCGTGAATAACACTCTCACAAACCTGGAGGAAATCATACTCATTCCTAGAATACCACGGTGAATACCAGATTTTCAATAGCATAATCAACATACCCCGTGCAATGCAACACTGTTCAAGTGTGTCCATGAACGATTTAATAACGTTCTGATCCAGCCTTAGACTGTAATCCACGACTGCCCACGCCCTGATGATCTCGGGGGAATGAAGATGTTGCCTTGTTATGTTCCACGCTCCGTTGTTTACATCCTATGGCAAAATCTCGCTAAATTGAACAACATGCGGGAAAGGCTACTTGCCGCCGGCTGTTTTTTCCCGTAGAAAATAGTAGGTGCTTTGAGAAGTTGACCTTGTACCATGACCGGTTTCTGCGAAATTTCCATTCCCGCGTCTTGAATATAAGGTGAGGTGGCATACTCAAGCGTCTGGACGAAAATGATTAATAAATCTTAACTTCGGCTAAGGACTCACAGGAGGTTGGACTCGGTCGCATTTTTGGCCAACGATCATTTCCAACCGTTTCTCTGGCCTGAATTTGGAAAAATCAACCATCATGCTCGTCATGTTTTGCGGTAGTTTACGTGTGTACCGCTGGCCAGCGGCCACAGTGCAAAGCTCTGCCGGGATGACGGTGTTTTTTCCAGACCCACGGCTCAATTCAATGCCGATGATGTCAGGAAACGATAGACGTATGTTGTATGTTTTGTAGTAGTATTCCTGCGCAAATATCAATCATCTGCGGGATGTGACAATGAAAGCAATTGATGCAGAGCGTACTGCCACAGTTGTGGGAATGGATGAGCCATCTTCTTGCTCTTGAGTGAACGGAAATCGTCCAGCTGCTTCAACAAGACCAACAATTTTCTTCGTCACAGTTTTTTTTGGCAACTTTATTTCGACAAGGACATTCCGGAAAAATTGGCTGAGAATATTCCACTCTTTGCTATGCTTTTTGAAGCTGAGGGCCCGTGTATTCCCTCGAGTGTTCAAAACTTCCAGAGCAATATCCACAAACGGCCCTGGTTTATACCTAATAGGAAACGCAATGAGAAGAAATAGAAGTGATTTCTATGACGCACATTGCGGCTGCGCTGATGTCGACATTCACGAGAACTCTGCCGATTGCTGGTCTGACACTCCTACGCGCTAACGTGAGGCACAATCAATAGGTTCTGTAACACGACGCACTGAAAGAATCCACGAAACAGCTGAAGACCTCCGCGAAGATCTTTTGAGCCGCCGCTGGTAAAGTACGCTCTTCCATTATTCGGGTACTTACTACAGAGAAAGTTTTAGTGATACTATTGGTTGCGTAATGTATGGCTTACAGATTTGGAGCCTGACGAATGATGAATTGAAGCAGATTAAGTGCAACGGAGACCTTTGGCGTCTGATCGCTGATTTTTCCGGTGAGAAACTTTTTGAGATCGCTGCAGCACACATGTCATGAGGTGTGCTTAAACTGGAACTGAAAATGCGTACTCGAATGTCACTGTCTCGCCCGCGACGCGAGCTACCTTGACTGTAACTCGACCTTTGCCGGGAACAACAAGCGTGTACTGTAGCCGATATCAGGATAAAAATACTAAACCATAATCGGGTGCATACGTTTCCCGAAGTGCCATCGGGAAGATCCAGCGGCGCGGCAGAGTATAAAATGCTCTTTCCATCAAACAGACACAGACGAAAGACCCTGGGTGCTTCATGGTTTTGGAGTCTTTCGACTATTCTATGTCTCCATCGCACACTTTCCACATCAGGTGTCATGACTGAAGAAGATTCATTTGAATAGAGTTGCTACTGGCACGGAGACGCACGCACCGACTGTACGAATTTATTCAGGACGAGGACGACACCCAGTCAGCCAGATATGTACTCACCATCGTATTGCTCGTACGCTTTGACTGGTATTTGTGTTACGTCGAAGGCATTTGCGTAGGCAGTCATAGGTCTACGTTGACCCAACGGCACAGTAGACGCCGAAGCCATCTGGGAAGATATGACTGTCATATGGTTGCTGAAGGACGTAGTCCAAGAAACGAAGATGACAGGGTTTATAAAGATACAATGGTCCGTGCTGTTTGAAACAGAAATATGGAGAGATAGTGCGAGTGGGCGATGGCAAGAAGACAATCATGCACTATGATTCGCCTAGCTACAATAGTCGTACAAAATCCGACCGACTCGGATAAAGTCCTCGTGAACAAAAGAATTGGAATTTCTCCCAAGCTCGTGTTCAAGAAGACGAAGATCGCAGCTCGGCGGCCTCGA